CGTGCGACTTGCAGAGCCTCATCCATGTGAAGTTTCGGTTACTGGATGGACTGAAGTCTTCTGAGGTCATCCTGAGTTACTCAGTTCATCTCAAACTAACAGTTAACATATGTCAAACCCAACAAAGGCTGACATTGTTCCTCGTCCATGTCAGAAGGTGCTTTGCTATTGATGTCAAAGGCTGCAGGATTAGGTTGTTAAAAAGATTTGCTGAACCAGCGTGTGAGCTAGAATGAATCAGGTTGCGTGGGGAGAGTGGGAACACGGGGAAGTTCATGGGAGCATATCAGCAAGCAAAACTGCTGCACATTGCTCAGAGTTGGATAGCAATGTGCTGGCTGAGACAGGCAGAATGATGATCCAACTCAATTCTTCTGCACTATTATGGGGGGAAAGAAAAAAAAAAGAGTTAATCTCACTAATCTCTGCAAGTACTGGCACTTCCTCATATTCTGCAGAAGAGGAGAACTATTCTGGGTATCTCAGGCTGGCTGGCAATTGCCAGTAAAAGGTGGAAGCCTCACCAGAAACTTAGTCTGCAAGACTTCCTCTTGATTTGCAAACTAAGGACTAAGGCTATCTGAAAAGACGAATTAAATATCTGAATGACTGGGTGCTTGGTAAAACCAAATCTCAGACTTGGTCTTGAGTCAAGAAAATACTCGCAGTATCAGCCAATGCAAATCTTCACCAATTCCTGCGCAGAATGGATGTAAGTGGTAACTGATGAGGAGGCACTCACCCTCCGCTTCCAGTGCTGGTCCTCATTCATTGAGTGTCTTCAAGCAAGTCACTGAAGATAACACTTTTAAAATGAGTTTTTGCTTTTCAATGTTCAGACTAATCAAGTTCATTAAACTTCAGCTGGTTTTTAGGAGGTGATCAGCATATGTTCATCCTGTACTCATGATGTGTTTGCTGGGGCACTATGTGGGGTTGCTTTGGAAAAATCTGGTCTTCACATGTTGGATTTGCCACTCATAAAAAAGTCAAACAGCAGAGGCTGTTGAAAGCAAGGAGCTAGGAGTATTTGTCATTAGAGTGATTCCATTACAGTATCTTCCACAATTCAAACTTGACTTTTATTTTTTACTGTGCCAGAAATGCAACACTGTAGAAGACATTAAACCTACTCTTTTGAAAACCCCCATGTCCCTATCTGGACAGGAGCTGCAGCCAGGTGGAGTGTAGCTGCCTGACGCTGCTCCTCCCTGAGAAGGACATCCAGTGACTCCAGCATAAACTCGTATGTCAGATGTATCCAACAGGACACCCTGCGTTTTCCGGATAGCTGACAATATCTTTGCCTCTCGGTCACTGTCCCTGTGCACTCATGCAACAGATGACCCTGTTCACTGGCAGGATATATGCCACTGGCTGGATTGCCAGGTACACCCTTCAGGGTATACAGGAGTCCTCTGACATCAAACAAAGGCAAGAAAAGGAGGCTCTGATATAACAGCACCCGCAGGAGTCCTCAAGGAAATGCATGCCAGCCCTTCTGGCATCAGCCTTTCTCCACTGAGTTTTTTCTCCGTAACTGAATACTGGATGATTCATCCCTGCATCAGGCTGGGAAGGCCTCCTCTGCTCAAAAGGGAAGGAAGAGAGGAGGTATTTCAAGTAAGGTTCTGCAGGGGCACAGATAATTTCTGAGTGTCTGCACTCCTTCTTACTCATTTCTCTATTCCTGTGGCTGTTGAAGGAAGAAGCCCTTTGTACTAGAGTCACTGCAGGGCCTTGAGCACCATCCTTGCCTACAGAAAGAGGCCACAGAGCCGTGCTGAACAGAACCAAGAAGTTCACCAGAACTCAGGGCTAGTCTCAATCAGTCAAAGGCTGGGCAATGACTCCGTTTAAGGCGTCTATCCACTCTCTCTGCTCCCTATCGTTCTCACATACAAACACAAACTCTCTCATTGGTGTCACCACAGTGATTGCTGGTTTCCTCTTCTTCACCCGGACTCCCTGGGGCAAGCCAGCTTGTACTTCATATCCCTCATCCATCCTTCCAATAAAAAACTGGCCCTGTGCAAATGCATCCTAGAAAGAAGGAAGCAGAAGACAGCCATTAGTCAGTGGACAGTGCAGCTCCAGCAGACACTGTTCTGTCCTTTGACATGGAGCAGGAACTGGGGATGTATGAAGGGGACACTGATTTGGTGACAGGCAGCAGGAAACACGCTGGAGTTTTTTTTATACTCAGGGGCATTCTCAGGAGAAGGTAGGGACCCACCCCTATAGACCTGGATGGTGGGTGTTCAGAAGGAGCAACGAAGGATATTCTCGTGGTTAGAACAGTTGTAGGAAGCAGGATACTGGGGCTGCCAAGCCTCTATTACTGGTATATTGCTCATCTTGCCTAAGGTTACACGCACAGTGCCAACAAGCCTGGGAGAGAGTGGGCTATAAACGCTACAGGCAGTAGCAGCTACTTTTAAGACTCGGATCTTTCTCGCAGCCACTGTAAGGGCCAGAGTTCCCACACAGCTCAGCTTCAAAGAGCTGTTGACAAGGGAGATGAGCTCTTGAGGCTGAGCCTGCTTCAGTCTTGCACAGCCACTGGAAGAGCAGGATGAGAACAGACCCTCCTCACCCAACTTCATGAAGGGGCTTGTGGAATAGCGAACACTCCTCTTACCAGTGGATTTTTAAAGTACATCAGGTTCCTTTCTTGAGAATCCAGGCAGAACCAGCGCACCTTAAAGGCCTCCTTCTGCTGCAAGGAGATGGTAGAAGTTCTTTAAAGACCAACTCCCAAAGCTGGGTTTGGCCTATTCAAGTCAGATCCCTGGACTGCTTAAATGACTTTAGAGCTTGAGTTCAGTTTCCTTCATTCCCATAACTGGTCAACAGGTGAGTCACTGCCATGTGCAGCCCTCAGCTCCTTTCTCCCTGGGTTCACGCTAGAGATTTGCATTCACTGACAATCCTTTGGCTAAGGCAGGGAAGTTTGGTTCTGCCAGTGATCAAATGACCAGGATTAAGAAAGTTGCAGCAAATGGATTAATTGCAGAGGATGATCCCTGGGCCAGCAGCTATAACGAGGAGAGCGTGCCATCAATTTCAGCATTTTGGTTTGGGGGTTGTCCCTAGAATTGGGGGATGCACAATGGTAGGGACAAATGCTAGTTTTTTTTTAAAAGTGCTAATTCCATCAGCCACACTCATAGGATCGTTCCCTGAGTTATTTGTTGCTCCATACTGAACTGAAGAGTCCTCTTCCAGTGCTCACTTCAGTTTGAGCAGAATTTAGGCCTTAGGAGAAAAATACACAATCTTCCATGCATGTAGCTGTGAGTGTCCTCTGTGTAAGTACCTGCAGGAAGATGTATTGGGACACTAGCACTGAGCTGGGCCAAACCCCCAGCATATTCAATATCAGCATTTCACTACTGAACTTTTTAACAGGACTTTGGCTCATGGTTCACTCAGAGGACAGCAAGGCAAAAACTGGCAATGTTCAAACAAGACCTCAGGTCTTTAACTCCTCCTTCAGCAGAGCCTGAAATCTCCCTCTCCTGTTTCAAGGAGTAGTGGCCCAAATAGTTTCTCACAACAACCAAACCAAACCATAGGCTTCACTGTGGAGAATTTGCTCACTCATACTTTGCTGCTATAAGCAGATGTGACTTATGTGCTACCAACTTTTAAGAGAAACAGGGAAGTAGTGGAGTCAGCATGTGATGTTCCGTTCTAGCAGGAGCTGCAGTTCTAGAGCTGCAGCTGGCAGATACAGCAATCCATCTAGCCTTGCGTAACGGGACTTTGCATGTCCACTGCCAGCTAATCCATCTTGGTTACTCTTCATGGAGGATTCTTCTTCCCAGTCTTATTTTCCACACAAAATAAAACATGATCCCAAAGAACACAACAGGCTTGAATATCATGTCTTTTATCAACCCATGAGGCATATAGTCACTCAACAAATCGTTTACTAGTAAATATCATAGAATTATCAAATATTCTCCATCTGGAATAATCCTGTTTGTGTACTGCCAAGAATGCACTTACTTTTGGTCCTGTTTTCTCCATATATCCTTCTTTGACATAATTTCTTGTGATCCTGGGTATGAGCTAGGAGAACACAAACACACACACAAAAATAGTCTGTCTCATTCAAGCTTGCTTTTCTGTTCTGTTTCTGTCAAACCTAATCACCATTAGTTTTGGCTTTTGGGGCCAGGGTTTTCTTTCAGCTGTTCAGTAAAGGGAAGTCTGAAATAAGAAGGAACGTAAGGTTTCTGAAAGATTACACTTTATAAGGACCACATGCAGACTTTTAGGCCTTCAATGTTGACTACGTTTTTGCATGTTATCCACTGCGGCCTTTCTTTCCACCTCTTCTATCCATTCCCAACACCCATACACTGCTGCTTGAGCACCTGACTCTGGCAGAAGTATTGAGAAAATGTTTTCCTGTGCTATGTTTGCATAGACCACTTCAAGCCCTGTTCAGTTCTCACCTCAGGCTCAGGGACAGTTGGGAAGGTTGTTCTGAGATAATGGTAACGTGCTGCCCGAATGGCATTGAACCAGTCAACAATTTCCTAGGGAAAACAGCAAATACAAACATAAATACAAGAATAACAAGAGGAATAAGAGTGCTGCCTCTCCAAAATGCCTTTCTCCTTCCTTGTGACCTCTTTGCAAAGACATACTTTCTCCCCAAGGGGCGGAGAGAGTCAGTGACTTGTCCCAGACATCTGAAAAACACTGAGCCTCCAAAATAATTTAAAAATGCCTCTCCAGGGAAGTCTCAGACATTCTCAGCATGGACAGTCACACGAGTCTCTGTACACAGGCTTTTTCAGCTGATTAAATTATGGACTGTTTAAAAACTTTTGTACCTGGAAAGATATGAGAACTATGGCAAGAGAAGAAACAGAAATCTAAAAAAACCCCATAGATATACTTCTTAAAATTATCATTGTTTGCTTAGAAATAATGCAGAACAACAATAGCTTCTATGCATGTCAAGAAGGCTTCAAAGAATATAATCACGGAATTGTATAAAACTGTTAGGCAGTTACCTTACAGAGATTTACACATGTGCCCCACTGAGGCCTTAAGGCTGTTGAAGGTGTGAAGTTGAAAATATGCCCCAAGAGAACAGGGGCGAGATGTTATAGTTACTGGTGTCAAATTCTACAACTTTCTATATTCTACAAGTCATAGTGACTTCAAATAACACCAGATCCTGCAGAAACATGGTATCTCTTCCAAAATATAGATCCAACATCTAAGTATCTTGCTTAGTCCAAAATCTCCGTGGTATTCACCTTTCCACTTTCGTGATAGACAAAAAGGTTCCTTGTTTGACCATCTGTGTTGTAAGTGATCTGCAGCCCATGAGCATGCTGGATTTTCTCTGTCTGGAACATCGCATTCAGATTCTCAATGCTGATAATGGCTTTTGGACCTCTGGACTGTGAAATGAAAAGCATCACTGTATTAAAGTGCTCTCAGGGAAGTGTAATGGAGGACAGATTAGCTATATGAGAACTACTGAAGAGAAAGCAGGCATCTTAAAATATCTGAATATTGGATATACCTGAAATATAAAGCCTTAATTACATGCTACATAAAATCACTTACAAGGAGTGACTCCCTTTCCTTGACAAATGCTGGGTTGCTATTTGAGAGGGATGTGTCTGAAGTGCAAGGGATGGGTTCTATCTCCAGCCTCATAGATGGAGAACAATTAGCTACACTCTCCCACGGAAGGGAGACATGTTGAGGATGATGCTGCAGCAGCTGAAGAGAGAATGTTCTGGTAATATAAGAGGTAACAGATCTCTTCTTCATCTTGCTGTTCAACTGCCAGTATCCATTTCCCTCGTTCACTAAGCAAGAGGAGTCTGCAGGGTTAAGATAAGGGGTGAGGAAAAGGGCTAAATCCAAAAGAGCAATTGCATAAGATACCACACATGTTAATGGGGAAACATCTGGGCTGCTCCAAGCACAGGCTGGCCTGGCTGCAAAGCTAGAGACAAAGCTATTTATGCTGGTTTTTGCTGGTGAAGAGCAGGCTCTGAAGATGGATGTTGACTAGCTACCTAGGGCCAACTCTGGCTGAGGAACTCACTTCTTTGGTGTAGTACTTCATCACCCCTTCCCTTGCTGATAAGAGAAATCGCCTCTTCTGGAACTGTTTGCATTCCCGCCCACGCTTCCAGAGGAATCCTTCACGGCTACCTGCAGATCGGACCAAGGTAAGTGTCAGAGAAGGGCAGCACAATAGGACTATTTATCTAAGAGGTGATGTGGCACAGAGTTTCAAGTCTCTTCTCCATCTGAGAATTTTCACCTCATTTGAAAAAAAAATCCCTGGAGAACTAGAGAACCGTAAGATCTGAATATAACTTTGCACTTGTCTGAGTGCCTTTTCTTAGGAGCTTCTTCTCAAAGTTAGACTGCACATCCAGCAGTTCAAATATGACAAGCGAACCTTAAAGATCTTCAAAGTTGCAAACATAACACTGTGCTGCTGGCATTAAGGCTAACACCTTTTCCCTGACAATCCTAACTTTTACCTGCAGAACAAGGATCTTGGCAGACACGGGTGGCAACAAATTCCTCACGCTCATATTTAGCTCTAATCCACTGCTCTCTTAAAACCCTGAAAGAGGAAAACATGGATAAAGCTGATATGCCTCTACTCTGTTTTCACCAACCACCAACGAGACCTGTAGAGGGAAGCAGTAGTTCAATAGCTGTAAAGGTCCGCAGCAGTGAATACACCCTCAACTTACAAGCAATCACAGGACTGGGGGATGTAATAGTAGGGAGGGACTTTGGCCTCATATTTAGCTTTGGCACAGAGATTCCCATGCTTCTTCATAAACTGAAATACAAAAGAAGTTACAGTTAGGTGTGCAATTACAAAATCCATACCATGTAATGAACAGAAATTGAAACTTCTATCAAAGGGAGCACTGCAATTTTTGCTCAGTCTCACCATAACTCTCAGTGCTTCTCTATTTGTGTTCACAAAATTCCTTTTAGCACTATGGCTTTCACTTTTTAGGTGGCTGAGCCTTTTTCAGTGTTTAACAGTTCTGAACCAGATGGGAAGGAACACCAGATTGTGGTAGTTGATTAAAAGTCCAAAAGAAAATAAGAAGAAAACCAATTTGTTTATGATCTCCCTACACTTTCATCTCCTCCTAGACACTACCTGTGATCATATTGTTAACACAATTCAACTGAAAGATGAGAGGCTAAACCAATATTTAAGAAGGCTATGGTGCTTACCGAATAGAATGCACTATCTGGAAATACCTGTGGGCTTCTAAAGCACAGTGAGAAGTTACTGTGTGCTATAAAAAAATAAATGCCGCAGGCTGTTAGAAACACAGTCACTTATCAGTGTAATTTGATTGAATAGGTCATAAAAAAAACCCTGAAGTTACCCGTGGAGTTCACTGGGCTCTGTGTGGCTTTGTTCCTCTGTCCATGGTGGACAACATGGGAATTATGAGGCAGACGAGGTCATGATGAAAAGTGGAGAAAAGTAAGTGAATTACTGCTTTTTCCTCTGTACCTCTATGAGATCGTTCTCCCAGTAGTCAAGCCGAAGGGATTTGACCCTGCTGATTTGAGGAAGATTGCGATGGATTCCAGAGCAATTCAAACAAATGAATATTCCAAGTTTGTAAGAAGCCCACTCTGGATCTAGATACAAACACAAAAAATGAACTAATACACGGGAAGAGGCACAGCCACTGGCAACGGCAAAAAAGCACATCTGATGAACAGCCCTGGCTTCACACGTAACGCATCAAATCCCACCCCGTTGTTTATGGCTGTCACTTCACTGTGTTCAGAGGAATAGCACCTGTTTTCCCCAATGAGGAATGTGGCCCTTACATTCATCAGCTCTTTCACTGATTATTTGTTTAAAAAGTAACATGATTATGCAGGCAGTCGAGTGGTGATGTAAAAGCTCAGCTAATTATTAGTTCTGCCTCAAAAGCGGCTGTTGCTGAATTAATGGCAGGATGTTGCGGACAGCGAGCACTACTGAGAGTACAACGGAGCCCAAGCACCCAGAGTGGGGACTCATGCCCACTGCCCACAAAAGCTCCCACTCTCGCCTGCTGCTGCTGCACCCCCTGAAGCGGCCTTGGCAGGTCGATGCTCAGACGTCTTCCAGGTGCTCTGGCAAGACGGTTTCCTTAGACTGCCACTTGCACCGTGTCGCCCTCCATTCCTCCCTTATCACATCGAACGGAAGCTACTTGTCGTCCAGCTGCTGTCGGCTACGGACCGACTGCTCGGTTCGGGGAGGGCAGCTCCCACCTCCAGCGAGTGCGGGGTGCCAGCCCGGCAGGCTTCCGAAAAGCAGCCCGTCTGCGGCGACCCCAGCGCAGAGACATTCCTCCCAGCGAAAACCAGCCCTCGCTCTCCTCCTCCA